TGTGATACAGTCACATACCATAAAACAACTCAGTCAGTAATGGGTTACACATAAAATAATGGCTCCAGCCCAGCGTAGTGCACACACCTGTAATTCCAGTGACTCAGGAGGCTGAAGCAGGAGGATCACATGTTCAAGGCCAGCCTCAGTAGTTTAGTGAGACCATAAGCAACTTAGTGAGACCCTGTCTCTAAATAAAATATTAAAAAAGAGCCGAGGATGTGGATCAGTGGCTAAGCATCCCTAGGTTTAATCCCCAGTACCAATAAATAAATAAAAATAAAAAACAATGGTTCTGTTAGGATTATAAGGAGCTAAAAATTTCCTATCATCTTGTGATACGATGGCTGTATAAAACCATAGTGGAAGGCATTACTCCCGCCTTTGTAGTGATGCTGGGATAAGCAAACTTACTATAAAAGTGTAGCACATACAATTGGGTATCATACATGATATTTGATAATGATAAAAGTGACTGGTATTGTTTTGTAAAGACTATACTCTTATTTTAGAAGTTACATCTTCTTATAAGAAAGAATTTATTGTAAAAATAAACATGCTATGTTACACTAGCAGCAACCTAACATATCCTGTGTTTACAAGATCTGTCTTTTTTCTTTGTGTACATATGTCACTGAAGATTGACTGAACTACACCTTTAGCCTTTTTAACTTTGAGACAGGATTTCACTAAGTTGGTAAGGGTTCTGCCAAGTTGCTAGAGCTGGCCTCAAACTTGCAATTCTCCTATATCAGACCCACCCCAAGTCACTGAGATTACAGGTGTATGCCTGTATGGCTATCACAGCTCTTGATTGCATGAAGAGGCTGCCATAGGGGCTGGAGCTCATTGGCAGAGCATTTGCCTAGCATGTGCAAGGCCCTGTGTTCTATCCTCAAAACCACTAAAAATTAATTTAAAAAGTGACTGCTATGGTTTGAATAAGTGTCTTCCAAAGGCCCATGTATTAAAAACTTGGTCACCACCCTGTGGCCCTATTGGGGGAGGTGGTAAAACTTTTAGGAGAAGGGAGACCTAATGGATGGAAGTTAGTCATTGGGTGTATGTCCTCCAAGGAGATTGTGGGACTCTGATATCTTCCTCTTCCTCTCATGATTTCCAGCAGCCATGAAATAAGCAACTTCCTCCTCCACACATTTCCATCATGATGTACTGCCTTACCAGAGGCTTAAAAGCAACAGTCCAACTGGCTATGGACTGAAACCTGTAAATCTCTGAGCCAAAGTAAACCTTTCCTTCTTTAAAAAAACAAAACAATATATATATATATATATATATATAAAATATATATATATAAATATATATATATATACATACATACACACATATACATATATGTATATATACTTATATATGTATATATATTATAGTACTGGAGATTGAACCTAGTACCTTGCATGTGCTAGGCAAACACTCTTCCCAGAGCTATACCCCCACCACTTTTTATATTATTTTGAGGCAGTATCTCACTAAGTTGCCCAGGCTAGCCTTGAATTTAGCCTCTAGAGGAGTTAGGATTACAGCAACCTGTGCACTACCATGTCCTACTCCTTTCCCCATTTTTAAACTGATTGTCTCAGGTACTTTTTACAGTAATGGAAAGCTGACTAACACAGAAGACATGTTGAGTGGTTGGCCTATACTATCTAGGCTTATGTAAGTACACTCTAATGTTTGCACAACGAGGACATTGCCTAATGACACATTTCTCAGAACTGTCTTTAACTGACATATGACTGTGCTTTGTTAAGGCAGCCTTAGAAACTCACACACTCCCCTGCTGGGAACTTTAGTTTACACAGGTTTCAATTTCTAATATTCAGCATTATAACATGGAATATGGATGCCAGGTAGGTTCAGTGTCTAGAAAATTTGAAGGACGAAATCCACAGACCCAAGGATGAGAGCAAAGTAACAGGATTTATTAGAATAATAGAAAGAAAGCAGAGCTTCCAAAGAGGAAGGGATACCAAGAGAGGGATGCCAATGAGTGTCTGTTGTCTATGGGTTTTTACGGGCTTGATCTGTCCCTGTAGAGGATTGGTGGGATATAGAATTTAGAAAGGGGGCCAATCAACTCTATATTGCCTTCTTCAGCAAATCTGAAGAACAGTAATTTCTAAGCTTTAATCGGCACAAGAATGGGGGTGAGGGTCTGTTTGGGGTCAGTGGTGTCTAGAGGCTATTACGGAACTGTCCTTGTGGCTAGGAATAGCTGGGGTCAGAATGATTTCCCACTTCTTACTTCCTCCTTTTCTTCTCTGAGACCCTTTTCCTGGATACCTATGAGTGGTCTATCTTTTTGTCTCAGCATGAGTTAGTGGGACACTCCCAACTTAAGTCCTGGCAGGACCAGTACAGTGCCAGATTTAAGGAAGTGGTCACTCTTGTTTCCTGCAAGTGCCAAGTGTGAGTGTCCCCATAAGAAGAGGGCCTCTGCAGTTGTGTTGGAGTGTTTACAGAAGTCCTGCTTGAAGGAGGATGGCAAGTTGGCAGCCATCCCTGAAACTTAGGGAGACCTTATCTCAAAATTTAAAAATAAGCTGGCTCAATGGTGCCCGCCTGTAATCCCAGCAGCTCGGGAGGCTGAGACAGGAGGATTGCATGTTCAAAGCCAGCCTCATCAAAAAGTGAGGTGCTAAGCAACTCAGTGAGACCTTATCTCTAAATAAGATACAAAATAGGGCTGTGGATGTGGCTCAGTGGCCAAGTGCCCCTGAGTTCAATCCCCGGTACCCCTCAAAAGGGCTGTGGATGTAGCTCAGTGGTAAAGCACCCTGGGTTGAATTCCCAGTACTGAAAAAAAAAGAAGTCCTACTTGAGTACTTCCTTTAAAATCATCTTTAGATATATTTTGGAGCTGATTATAAAATGTAGTTGCCAACCACCTGAACCCAAGGCAAACAAGGTATTTCTCACAACACACAGGTATTTCTCACCATCTCAAAATTCATCCTCTTTCCTTAAGGTAGAGGTTTATAAACTTGAGTTCTCTCCACCACCCCTACACTGCCTTGTTCCGCTCTATCAATTAATGAGTTAATTCCCATTCTAGGTGCTAGGGATTTAGAGTTGAATAAGATACCAAAAGTGGTGGGGAAGACTTAATCATTATTATTCTTTAAATTTGTATTTATTTTTATTATTTATTTTTGTGATATTGGGGCTGAAACACAGAGCCTGTTGCATGCCAGGCAAGCACTTTATCACTGAGCTATATCCTTACCCCTTTTTAATTTTTATTTTGAGATAAAATCTAGATAAGTTGCCCAGGCTGGCCTCAAATTTATAATCCTCCTGCCTCAGTTTCCTGAGTAGTTGGGATTATAGGTACACACTGCCAAGCCCAAATTCACTTTTAAAAACTCAGTTGCTATAAAATGTGATAAGGGCTATATGAAAACAAATCCAAGGACCTAAGAGAACTAACAGAGTAGTGACTCCCAGGCTGCCAAGGAGACAGAGTATCAACACTGCCTTTTCAACAATGAATGATTGTTAATTAGATGAAAAGGAGGAAGGATGACAGGTTGGATGAAAAAGGGTGAGGAGTAAAGAGTGACATCAAATAGCTTGGGTGATGGGTAAATGTGGTGCCAATCACTAAGACAGGGAAGCCCGAAAGAGGAAAAATGTGAAGGAAAACAGAGTTGATTCAGTATTGGACATACTGAATCTGAGTTGCCTGTGGACATACAGGGAAAGACAATAAACACAGTGTTTCCAAAGTACATTCCAGGAATCTTAGTTCCCAGAGAAATGAATATTCTAGGAAAAAGAGGGGAGCAGAATCTGTTGAAGATTGTTCTAGCCCAGGTTCCTGAAAAGACAAAGCCTGGAGCAAGGATTACATGCTGATGTTTTTAAAAGAGGTGCAAACCCAGAACATGGGAAATAATGAAAAATGCCTGGAGCAACCACAGGCTGTTGGCAGCAAGTGGTTGGCCTCAGAACTCCACAGTGGGATCAAACTGCAATAGTCAAGGAAAAAGCAAAAGGCCAGGGCATCAGGACTCAAGCAGAATTGAGAGAATCTGAGAGAACATATAGAATGTGTTCATTGCAGATGTCAAATAAGTTTAGGAAATGCTGGGTATTGCATACCCGCTCTTGGAAGCTTGTAACGCATATTAGCCCACGGACAATTCTAGAAACACTTTGCCATCTGTACCTGAGACTGGGTTCTATATAAACAACACAGGATTTTTGTTGTTGTTGTTTGTTTTATAAAACCACTGAGCCACATCCCCAGCCCTTTTTATATTTTATTTAGACGTGGTCTCGCTAAGTTGCTTGGGGCCTTGCTAAATTGCTGAGGCTGGCTTTGAACTCACAGTCCTCCTGCCTCAGACTCCCAAGTCACTGGAATTACAGGCTTGTGCCACTGCACCCAGCTCAGGAAAAACAGATTTCTTGTGGTTCTAGAGTATGGGAAGTCCCAGGTCAAGAGACCACATCTAGTAAAGGCTTTTTTTTTTTTTTTTTTTTTTTAGGTACAGAACCCAGAGGTGCTATACTACTAAGCTATATTCACAGCCCTTTTTCATTATTTTTTTATTTTGAGATAGAGTCTCACTACATTGCCCAGGCTGACCTCAAACTCTTAATCCTTTTGCCTCAACCTCCTAACTTGCTAGGATTACAGGAGTGTGCCACCACACCCAGCCTGATAAAGGATTTCTTGTTGCACTATCTGGAGGCATAAGAAAGAAGAGCAAAAGAAACCAAGTGATTCAACTTGCAGCCTCAAACCCTTTTATAATTGGCATTAACCCATTCATAAGGGTGGAGTCCCCATGACCTAAACACCTGTTCGACTCCATCCCTCAACACAGTTGCACTGGGGAATTAAGTTTCTAGCACATACTATGGGGGCATAGATTTAAATAATAGCAACACCAAAGAAGATAGTGGTGGCCAAGAGACAGTGAAGGATGTGGGCTCCAGGGAGGATTTTCTTGGCTTTTCTTTGCTTCCAGGACCAGAGCAGCCAGATTGAGCATGGTTTGGGATATCCAACACCATTCGTTGTTGCTCTCCATTTGGTGATGTTGGCCTTCATGCCCTGGAAATGCCCGATGCTGTCTCAGAAACAAGGAGACGGGGAGCCCTGGAATAGGAATCATCTCTGAAGGAATGGCAGCTGGAGAATGACCCAAGTTCAGCCACAGGGAGGCTCTTGGGGTCTTCCTCTCCAAATACTCTATGCCAGGCAGCCCCTGGGCATCCTCTGGTGAGAGGCTCCCCTCTGCCCTTCTTCCCTACCCAGATCCTTCAAATCTGAATCCACATTTTAATAAGATCCTCAAGTATTTCTCTAAGTCTATTAAAGTTTGAGAAATGCATACACTAGATCAGTCTTTGCTTCCTTTATTTACAACATCAAATAATACTGTTTTTGGTTTTTTTTTTTTTTGGTTTTGTACCAGGGATTGAACCTAAGGGCGCTTTACCATTGAGCCACATCCCCAGCCCTTTTTGAGATAGGGTCTCCCTAAGTTTCTTAGATCCCCACTAAGTTGCTGAGGCTGGCTTCAAACCTGTGATCCTCCGGCCTCAGCCTCCTGAGCTGCATGTGCCACTCGCCCAGCAGCACTAGGTTTTGATAATTCACATCACTAACAGGAGTTTTCTCCTAGCAAAAATTACATGCTACACATTAAAATCTCCATGATTGTGATACCTTTCTGAAGTAACTAAAAATAGCAAAATTCATAAAAATTATGTCACTAATATGTTTTTATTGCTTTGGTATTAATAACACCCTTTTATAGCTACACAATCTCACCTATTCTAGAATATAAAATCTTCAATCAGAGTTTTTGAGTGAATAAATGAATGAATTATTTATTTGGGGGGGCTCTTTGGTTGGAATAAACTGAATTATGAGAGGGTTTTGGGGTTACATCAATAAAGAATTTTATTCAGCTGCTAGTAAGAAAGATTCAAAGCATCTGTGGCCTAAATAAAAATAAGATAGGGATGTAGTTTCCTCTCAGGAGAGTCCAGGCTGGTATGGAGACTATCCACAAGTCTCCAGATTGGAATCCTTCTGTCTTCACAGATGACTTTTACCCTTTAAATGTCACTTCATGGATGAAAGATGACTGCTGGGGCTCCACCTATCAAGTCCATGGTTGAAGAAAGAATAGAGGGATAGGGAAGGGGGTGCTTGCTAGTTAGGTTACACCCTCTTTTTATTGTACTGGGGATCGAACCCAGGAGTATTTAACCACTGACCATATCCCAGGGCCTTTTGTATTTTATTTAGAGACAGAGTCTTACTAAGTTGCTTAGGGCCTCTCTAAGTTTCTGAGACTGGCTTTGAACTTGCAATCCTCCTGCCTAGCCTCCCGAGCTATTGGGTAGGTTAGCTAGCTCCTTTTAAATAGCTTTCTCAAAACTTTACCCAGTCACTTCCATTGACATTATTAGCCATCCCCGTCCACAAGGAAGGCCAGAAAATGCAAGCTTATTAGCTAGGCACAATGCTGCCCTCACTATAGGAGTAAGAAAGGTAAATGTGTGAAAAAGTGGTTATTAGGAAGAAAGCCAGTACTCTGCCAGAAAAGGTATTAATGAAAGGGAAGGAATGGTGTACAAATAATATTCAGTGTGCCAAGGCCTTCTTGGAATTGTTTTACGTTTCTCTATTCTCCACAAGGAATAGAAGAGTTCTGAACAGGACAGAGTGGCTCCTGCTGAGCTGTTTCAGTGGAAAAGAGAAGAATCTTTTTTTACCAATGTTATTTGTTGAGGGCCTGAAGTGGAATGAGGTAAGAAACGAGGACCCTTAGCTGGCCCATTTTAGCTGACATGTTGCTGTCTCTTGAAGGGTGCTGGCATCATAATGAGTTCTTGTTCATGCTCTTCTTCCTCCCCGGGATGCTTTCTCACTTCTACATCTTAATTCTCTCTACTCAACTCCTGTTTGGACCTTCAACTTACAACCTATATGTTCTCATCACTTTGTATATGTTCTTATAAGCCTGGAATTTATCTGTTTACCTGAGAGCAGTTGTTTTAGGTCTGTTCCTGCCCTGGTCTTTTATCCCACCTCCAAGGCCCATAAGGGTGGATACTGGATCTATCTTTTTCAGCTCTTTACTGTACCCAGGACTTAGCAGCTGCTCCACAAATATTTATTGAATGAATAAATACATCTTATAAGGAAATTCACATAATAAATACATCTGATAAGGAAATTCACATAATAAATACATCTGATAAGGAAATTCACATAATAAATACATCTGATAAGGAAATTCACAATCGGGGGCTGGGGATGTGGCTCAAGCGGTAGCGCGCTCGCCTAGCATGCGTGCGGCCCGGGTTCGATCCTCAGCAGCACCACATACCAACAAAGATGTTGTGTCCGCCAAGAACTAAGAAAAAATAAATAAATGTTAAAATTCTCTCTCTCTCTCTCTCTCTGT